GCGTCTACAGCCCTGATCTTTGCCACAAAGTATCCCGCTTCAGCAGAATAGGGGATGCTCTCACTGTTAACGGAGCCATGCTCAGAGTAAGGAGCAAGAATTGTTGGATTATTGTCATTTTCATCCAGAATTAAAACGTTGACAGTGACATTGCTGCTGAGCGGAGGAACACCAGAGTCTGTGGCCTGAACTTTAAATTGAAACATTTTCAACTCCTCGTAGTTAAAAGACTGCAGGCTGATTATGTCTCCAGTTTCTGAGTTAATGTTTACCATTGTTGGGAGAGGAAGTGATTTACTATTACTATCTATTAGTGAATAGCTCACCTGACCGTTGTTTCTGATGTCAATATCGACTGCAGTGACCCTTTTTATAACTGTTCCTACCTTACTGTTTTCTTTCACAAAAACACTTATTAAAGACTGTGAAAAACGTGGCGCGTTGTCGTTAATATCAGAAAGGTAAACAGTGATAACACTAGTGTTAGAAAGTGGAGGGCTCCCTTCATCCGTAGCTGAAATTTTGACATTGTACTGAGGGGTCTCCTCTCTGTCTAGATGTCCATCAACAACTAAAGAGTAATAATTTTTGTAATTTGTCTCCAGTTTGAACGGAACTTTATTTAAGATTACACATTCAACTTCACCGTTTTTACCACTATCTGTATCTAGAACTGAAACAAGTGCAATAGCAGTGCCTATTTCAGCGTCCTCATTCACTGCATTGAGAAGTGACGTCACTTTGATTTCAGGAGCGTTGTCATTTAAGTCTATTACTTCAACCAGCACCTTACTATGGGCTGCCATGGGAGGCTGGCCTTTGTCTCTAGCTTCTGCTCGGATCTCGAAAGCTTTTCTTTCTTCATAGTCGATTTTGGCTTTGACTGAAATAACCCCTGTCTCAGGGTCAATTTGGAAAATATCCAAAATATGATCCTGATCCTTACTTCGTAAGGAGTACACTATTTCACCATTTGTTCCTTCATCAGCGTCAGTCGCATTTAAGGTGAAGATCGTAGTGCCAATCGGGCTATTTTCGAGTGTTTTAATTTTGTAAAGAGTGCTACTGAACACTGGTGCGTTATCATTACTGTCTAACACACTTACTTCAATTTCTGATGTCCCCGTGTTTGGTGGAGACCCTCCGTCTATTGCAGTTAACAAAAGTTGTATACTTGCTTGTTTCTCACGATCCAGGGCTTTCTGCAGCACTAACTCTGGAGATATACTCTTTCCTCTTTTATGTGTGGCAAGACTGAAATATTCATTAGTACTCAGCTTATATGCACTAACACTGTTTTTACCCACGTCAGCGTCGCTTGCCTCCGATAACGCAAATCTAAACCCAGGCAGTGTGTTCTCTGCAATTTCCAGTATTTGAGATTTCGTGTTAAAGGATGGAGAGTGGTCGTTCACATCTCTAATTTCTATCTCCACGCGGTAAAGCTTTAACGGATTGTTTATCACAGCCTCTACGGTAACCGTGCATTTGGGCTCATCTGTACAAACCTCCTCTCGATCTATCCTCTCACTGACATACAGAAATCCGGTCTTTAGATTTATCTCAAAGTATTTCTTTTTAGATGCAACAATCTGAAACAAACGGGAGGCCAACTCCTGCACGTTAAGGTTTAGATCCTTGGCGATATTTCCGACATTAGTCCCCGGATTCACCTCCTCTGAGACGGAATAGGAGAGCTGTGCAGCCGCCGCTTCCCAATAATAAGCCAAGAGCACAATCAAAAGAAATGTGACAATAGCGCTTCTTCTCGTCGTTAAATGCATACTTCCGCCGGAATACAGCAAATAATATATCCACAAATCCGTTCCCAGTGTTAGATGGTAGGATATGACAAAAATCAAGGCGACTGTGATATTTTTAAAGAGAAATGCTCCATTATGCCGCTCCTTCCCTTCCCTCGTCTCTTTGTGATGAAAACCACAGCTATTCCGCTTTTACCCTGGGAGGAGCGTCCACCTTTCTGTGCCACGGTCTACAGCGTCGCTACGTGGTAATATGAAGAAACTACACACATTGGTAAGAACTAAATTATTCCTGTTCACTCAGACACGCCCACAATCACACAATTCCAAAATACTGTGAGTTATTTAAAAGATTTTTATACGTGCGTTAATAAAATAACACTTTATTTGAAGTTACGCCATCACCGACACTGGCATCGTAGTATTTATTGTCGCATTTCTTTGTTGAATCATCCAAACAATATATATTCAGTAAGGTCACTATTCTCATTCAGGTGAAACACCGCAAGTTGTACAATTCAAATCACCAAGCAGTATTGCAGGTGCAAAAGTTTGCACTCCATTTTCAAAGTAAGACAGATAATAAGGTTTCAAATCTCAAATTATTAATTGTATTCATCTGAAATGACAAAGCAAGAAATCCAGTTTTTCTTTACACTTAGTCGTTTACAATTAGACTTACAGACTTATAGTAAGTAAACTTAAAAACTGCCTTAATTAAAACAAAACGAAACAAAAATACCCCCCGCCCCCTCCGCCACCAAAAACCCCCAAACAAAACAAAACAAAAAAGACACTGTTAGGTGGATTGGTTGTCAAGAAAAGACAATAACTCCCTACAGCTACGGATATTACATGGGGCAAGTTTTGTAAACTTTTTAATACCATAGACAGCGAAATATGCAGACAAAAGAAAGGACACCGCAAAAGTCTAAACTACAGCCAAAGCGACTTTTTATTGTAACTTAAACCAGCCTACTCCAAAAAGAATATTTTGTAGTACAGTGTGTAAAGTATTATTTCACTGTTAATTATCATAATAATTGGAGGGGAATAATAAACGTAAATTAGTCATTGGCCTTACCTTCTCTTTGTTAGGCAAAGTCTGAGTCCTGGTAAAAGTATCTCCACCGTTAATACTGATCAGTTCTCCATCTACAGGTGGAAACGGGGCCGGGAAAACCACTACGTCACTCTTGAGCGTGTCTGAGCTGAAACACACGTCATACTGCTGAGTAGCTTTAGAGTAAGACCAGCTCCCGTCAGGGTGGGTGGTGATCATGGGGGCGCTGTACCTGCTGAAAGTGCCGTCTGTCCTGTGGCATCTGACTGCTATTAAAGTGATGAGGCTGAGCAGAAAGATGACGGACACCGACACAATGGCAATCAGCAGATACAGGTTCAAATCAGAGAAGCTGTCCTCCTTTACAGGCACATGTCTAAACTGAGTCTGGATTTCAGCCGTGCTTTCAACCACCACCACATCAATAGACACAGTCACTGACAGGGAGGGTTCTCCGTTATCAGAGACCAAGACCACCAAGGGGTGAGTTTTGAGGTCATTGTCACTCAATCTCCTCCTAGTCCTGATCTCCCCGGTGCTGGTTCCGATCCTGAACAAGTTGTTTCCTTTGGGCTCAGACAGGTGATAAGAAAGCAGCGCATTGTATCCAGAGTCTGCGTCTACAGCCCTGATCTTTGCCACAAAGTATCCCGCTTCAGCAGAATAGGGGATGCTCTCACTGTTAACGGAGCCGTGCTGAGAGTAAGGAGCGAGAATTGTTGGATTATTATCATTTGCATCCAGAATTAAGACCTTAACAGTCACGTTGCTGCTGAGCGGAGGAACACCAGAATCTGTGGCCTGGACTTTAAATTGAAACATTTTCAACTCTTCATAATTAAAAGGTTGTAGAGTGACTATGCCTCCAGTCTCTGAGTTAATGCTGATCATTGTAGAGAGCGGCCCTGCGTTATCACTGACTAATGAATATCTCACCTGCCCGTTTTCGCCAGCGTCAGCGTCAGTTGCACATACAGTTTTTAAAACAGTCCCGACAGGACTGTTTTCTGCCACATATATATTAATTACAGTATCTCCAAACAAAGGTGCGTTATCATTTACATCAGAAACCTGAATAGTAACTACACTGGTGCTAGAGAGAGGGGGGCTGCCTTCATCAGTAGCTTTAATAGTGATATTGTAGTGCGACACAAGTTCCCTGTCTAGAACGCCACCAATGACCAAAGAATAATAATTTTTATAATTTGTCTCCAATTTAAAGGGGACCGAATTCAATATCTCGCATTTGACTTCACCGTTTTTGCCCCCGTCTTCGTCGAGAACCGAAACAAGTGCAATAGCAGTGCCACTTTCAGCGTCCTCCTTAACTGTACTGAGCAGTGACGTCACGGTGATGTCGGGGGCATTGTCATTTAGGTCCACCACCTCTACGAGTACTTTACATTGTGCTGTTAGCGGAGGTTGGCCTTTGTCCGTAGCCTGCACACGGATTTCAAAAGCAGGGTTTGTTTCATAGTCAATAGTTCCTTTAACTGTTATTATTCCTGTTTCCAAATCAATTTCAAAGATTTCTAATACACGATCCTGATCTTTCGAATTAAGTAAATATACGACGTCTTTGTTTGCACCCTCGTCAGCATCAGTTGCAGCCACTGTTACTACTGTAGTGCCTGATGGTGCATTTTCTTTAATACTTGTTTTATACAATGATTTTTTAAAAGTTGGGATATTATCATTTATATCCAACACATTAATTATGATCTCTGACGTGCCTGATTTAATAGGTGTCCCTCCATCTATAGCCGTCAGTGTGAGTTTAATTACAGCCTGCTTTTCTCGGTCTAACGCTCTCTGAAGAACTATCTCTGCCGAAACAGTGTCCCCTTTGTGCACCGCTAAAGAAAAATGTTCATTCTGGTTCAGCTTGTAAGTGTTAACATCATTTTTCCCCACATCGGCGTCGTAAGCCGACAGCACAGGGAACATAGCTCCCGGCAACACGCTCTCTGCAATGTCTATAGTTTGAGATTTGGCACTGAAAGACGGGGGGTTATCGTTTACGTCAAGAATATTGACTTCAATACGGTAAAGTTTCAGCGGATTGTTTATCACAGCCTCCACGTTTATTGTGCATTTTGTAGCTTTAGCGCAGAGCTCTTCCCTGTCTATTCTCTCACTCACGTAGAGAAAACCTGTCTTCAAATTTACATCGAAATGCTTCCTTTTTGATCCAGTAACAATCTGAAACATACGTGACTCCAGATCCTGTACATTTAGGTTCAGATCCTTGGCGAGATTTCCAACGGAAGTCCCCAGGTTCACCTCCTCAGACACGGAATATGAGAGCTGAGTGGATACCGCTCCCCAGTTATACTCCAAGACAACAAGCATTAGATATATTCCGAAGGACGCCTTTCTTCTCGGCAGATACATAATTCCATACAACATAGATCCTTATGTCGATCTGTTTTTCGCTTTTTGGCGGCGAAATGTATTTTGTGAGACTAAAGTAAATGCCAGTGCATTTTTCTCAAGCCTCCCCACTTCGTCCTGCCTCTCATTCTAACAAAGCACAGACAAAATGATCCTTCTATTGTGGGAGGGGCCTTCAACCATCAGCGATCAGCCGGCGGTATTACGGTCTAGACTGTCGCCCCATGGTCATTTTAAGTAACTACAGTTAAGGAATGAATGCAATCAAATCCTGCTGTTATGTTTGAAATAATAAGACTTGTTCTTAATCGAGTCACTCACACCTTCTTTCTTTATATTGTGAGATCCTAATAGTACAGTATAATGTAATCGCCACATATTTCAGAACCATGGAGAGAGTATCATTATGTTGATGCAGGCACTCCTTATTTGTTTGACCTTATACCAAGGGACACGCCGTTAAAAGACTTTCAGAACCGAGCCTTGGTTATTTCTAAACAAATTACAAATGATAACATAAACAGGCTTCATAAGTCAACAAATAGACATAGTTGAAAATGTGATTTCTTTTGTTATGCTTTCAACCTTTTTAACTTCTAGCCACAGCTTTAATCCAGGAGAAAATATATTATTGTATATTAATTTAATTTAAAAGTGAATGGATAACAAGTATATTTACAAACAAAAGTTTATATCAAGGCTGCTTGAAAAACAAAACAAAACAACACAAAACCTGACTCTAAGTTTTGTTAAATGGAAGTGCTTATTTTAAATCTTGATCATTTATATTCAGGTATACAGTGAGTTTAGTTACTGTTTGATACATTTCACTTTTCTGTGATTTGTTTCAAAATGACTGGTGATTGTTGGCAAAATTATCATGTCAAAGGCCAGATGTTCTAAAGACTGCAAAAAGAGCCCAGGGGAAATGTCAGCGAACAGTCCCTTACAGACCATTTGAATGACAACAAGCTAAAAGTTAATTGTTTTCTCCAGAAACCCTCAAAATATATTGTATAGCTCATATCTAAGCTTTTACCGTAAAGATTTCTACAGTAACACTTTTTTTTACCCTTTGACATAAAACACAGATACAAAAACTATGAAATATGAATACACTATAAAATTAATAAATGGAAAATTAACTAAATTTTTGATCAAAACATGAAGTAGAAATTTTTTGTATGTTACAGCTCACCTTACATTATCTAAGGTTCAGCCTTACCTTTTCTTTATTAGGTAAAGTCTGAGTCCTGGTAAAAGTGTCTCCTCCGTTAATACTGATCAGTTCTCCATCTACAGGTGGAAACGGGGCGGGGAAAACCACTACGTCACTCTTGAGTGTGTCTGAGCTGAAACACACGTCATACTGCTGAGTAGCTTTAGAGTAAGACCAGCTTCCATCAGGGTGGGTGGTGATCATGGGGGCGCTGTACCTGCTGAAAGTGC